TTTAATTCAATATATTATAACAAATACACCATTTAATCAGATTTTGAATTTGTTATGAAAGTCAACGAACAAATACAGTATAAGATAGCGTTTGAGTTAAAATAAATCATTAAAATAAATTTATAATTCAAACATTAAATATAAATAAGTAATTAAGACATTATGCATTACGCTACAGTACATGATCATTTTGTACTGTATACTACATATTTAATTGTTATGCGCTAATACCATGGGTAACATTTTAGGGTAATAAATATGTGTCATTTTTAAGTAATATATGCGAGTCTATACTCCAAACATAATACATGTATATTTAAATAATTTGAAATTCATTAATAATTGACAAACAGATTTACATTCAGTAAATAAGCAATATATTGGCAACAAAACGAAAGCCCCTTTCAATCAATTAATGTTAGACATAGTATTTTAAATTGAAATCCAGTAAAACATACACTAATATCACAGAATATTCTGTGCCATACAGTGAAGTGTACAACAATACAGTAGTAGTGACTCCGATATGCAATACGATATGCTTTCGGTATTGCCCTCTATATGGGTGTGAATGAAGTGAACGCATGTATAATATGGCTGTTTATCAGCTGTTGTTCAGTCGTCGATGAGATGCAAAAAAGTGTAGCGAAACAAACACTTCACCACTCATTCAGTCATTACAGTCTGTTTTGAGTCAATGAACGCATTCATTGTTAACAATACTTTTACAACAGATATAACCAATCGATTCATTACTATTTAATTATTATTTCATTTTATTGCCATTCAATACATGACATTCATATAGGATTGCAGTTCACATCACAAGCAGACCATTGCGAAGCAATTTGGCTAACATTTAGCCCATTATTTATACCGTAAGTCATGTTTTGTTCATTTCATTCATCCATTCATTCATTATTACCATTGATTGCCATTCAATACGGACTTTGCATTTGAAACTCATTTGCAAAACAGCCGTTTGTTTTGCATATCATATGGTTTTCACGTGATTTGCATTTTTGGTTGAATTGGTTTGAAAATAATTTAATTATTGATAATATATTTTTGTGGTGTTTTTGAAGAGTTGGGCGAAGAGTTGGTTGTCGTGGTTGGATATGATGCACGAAAATGAGATGATTTCCAACGTATCCACTTATATATGCGATGAATTCAGCCAACAGTGGCTCAAACGGCACGAGAGCCGCGTTCTGGCCGTCAAAGACTTTCGTCATCACTGGTCGCGAACGGTTCCCAAACTGTTCTCACCGGCGCTCGACTCGGACTGTCTGAACATACATTACGACGAGATTGAGGCTAAGGATCAGTTGATCGCGCCGTTGGAGCGGTTCATCACTGGTGTTCGCACTCCTCAGACCATATTCTCCAAACTCAGTCAAACCGATGATCCGCCGACTCTTTGCGGCCGTATCTTCAAGTCAGGCGAACCCACGTAACCTGGTACCAAATGGGTTGAGTAAAATAAATAATTTTTGTATATTTATTTTTTTTATTAATTGTTTGTTCATGAATAAATTTTCATAAAAATTAAATTTTTTTCACCAGACCTTTGACATCGTGTTTTCCATCATGTTAATATTGCTGATATTTAGAATATAAATTTTACATAATATATTTATACTTATATGTTAATATTTATAATATTTTACCTACAGTATATACTTTTTGTTTTTACAATAAGTCATTAGGATTAATGTATTCTATATTTAAATTTATTAATATATAGTTTAATAAAAGTTTTAAATATATTTTATTTATTAAAAACATTACTGAATACTAAAAATCAATGTAAAAATATTAAAATATTGTATTCTTGTAATTAATCAATAAAATTTTAAAACTCATTAGTAGAAAGGATAGTAAAATTTTAATGTCTTTAATCAATATCTCATAAATATTGATGAAATACATTATAGAATCTGCCATTTTGAGCATGCATATTTAATTCAATATATTATAACAAATACACCATTTAATCAGATTTTGAATTTGTTATGAAAGTCAACGAACAAATACAGTATAAGATAGCGTTTGAGTTAAAATAAATCATTAAAATAAATTTATAATCCAAACATTAAATATAAATAAATAATTAAGACATTATGCATTACGCTACAGTGCATGATCATTTTGTACTGTATACTACATATTTAATTGTTATGCGCTAATACCATGGGTAACATTTTAGGGTAATAAATATCTGTCATTTTTAAGTAATATATGCGAGTCTATACTCCAAACATAATACATGTATATTTAAATAATTTGAAATTCATTAATAATTGACAAACAGATTTACATTCAGTGAATAAGCAATATATTGCAACAAAACGAAAGCCCCTTTCAATCAATTAATGTTAGACATAGTATTTTAAATTGAAATCCAGTAAACATACACTAATATCACAGAATATTCTGTGCCATACAGTGAAGTGCACAACAATACAGTAGTAGTGACTCGATATGCAATACGATATGCTTTCGGTATTGCCCTCTATATGGGTGTGAATGAAGTGAACGCATGTATAATATGGCTGTTTATCAGCTGTTGTTCAGTCGTCGATGAGATGCAAAAAGTGTAGCGAAACAAACACTTCACCACTCATTCACTCATTACAGTCTGTTTTGAGTCAATGAACGCATTCATTGTTAACAATACTTTTACTCCGATATTTATATAACCAATCGATTCATTACTATTTGATTATTATTTCATTTAATTGCCATTCAATACATGACATTCACATAGGATTGCAGTTTACATCACAAGCAGAGCATTGCAAAGCAATTTGGCTAACATTTAGCCCATTATTTATACCGTAAGTCATGTTTTGATCATTTCATTCATCCATTCATTCATTATTACCATTGATTGCCATTCAATACGGACTTTGCATTTGAAACTCATTTGCAAAACAGCCGTTTGTTTTGCATATCATATGGTTTTCACGTGATTTGCATTTTGGGTTGAATTGGTTTGAAAATTAATTAATTATTGATAATATATTTTTGTGGTGTTTCTCAGAGTTGGGCGAAGAGTTGGTTGTCGTGGTTGGATATGATGCACGAAAATGAGATGATTTCAAACGTCTCCACTTATATATGCGATGAATTCAGCCAACAGTGGCTCAAACGGCACGAGAGCCGCGTTCTGGCCGTCAAAGACTTTCGTCATCACTGGTCGCGAACGGTTCCCAAACTGTTTTCACCGCCGCTCGACTCGGACTGTCTGAACATACATTACGACGAGATTGAGGCCAAGGATCAGCTGATCGCGCCGTTGGAGCGGTTCATCACTGGTGTTCGCACTCCTCAGACCATATTCTCCAAACTCAGTCAAACCGATGATCCGCCGACTCTTTGCGGCCGTATCTTCAAGTCAGGCGAACCCACGTATTCGTGTCGCGACTGCGGATTGGATCCCACGTGTGTTCTGTGCGTCGATTGCTTCAGAAACAGGTTTTGTTTGACACCATTTTGTATGACATGAATGTATGATCTAATGGTATAACTGATGCCACGAACAGCACCCATAAGAACCATCGCTACAAAATGGGCACATCTAATGGTGGATCAGGTTTTTGTGATTGCGGTGACAGAGAGGCCTGGAAGTCAAACCCTTTCTGTGATATTCACATACAAGGCGTCAATTCGGGGGTCAGTTCTTGTTTGTTGTCATGTTTTGTCACAAATTTTAATTTATTTATTGATTTGAATGTCAGGACATTGAATCCAATGATGTCTTGAAGAGAGTTCCGCACGAGTTCTCTGATCTGATGGACAAAACTCGACTCGTGTTTAAAGCAGTTTTGGGCTATTGTTTTGAAATCCTGACGTGGGATCAGAACTCAAGACTACCCGAAGATTTGGTCAATAAAGATGACGAGACAGCGGAGAATGAATTGGAGGACACGTTTGTGACAATGCTCTTCAACGATGAGATCCATACATACGAACAGGTGATCAACACATTGAGTCGAGCCATCGATTGTCTCCCAAAGGAGGCCATAGAATACGCGACAACTATTGACAGAGAGGGTAGAAGTATAGTGAAGTGCTCGCAATCTCAGATTTGCAGTCAAGTGAAGCAATCCATCGAAAAGATCACTTCCAGACACGGAAGCAAACCATTGAGAGTGGATGTGATGCACACCAGTGTTGTCGCGCATCAGACGTTTGCCACTCGTTTGTTGAGTTGGTTACACGAAATACTCGGCTATTGCGAAGCGTTTCGGTATATTTTGGCAGAAGTTTTGATGTCTAAAGACATGGTTAACACTGAAAGCAGCGCTTCGTGTGATTCGCCACTTCTGGAGCTAATAATGAAAGCGGACACACAGTTGTGGAAATCGATGCGAAACCAATGGCACCAACTGTTCATCAGTGGACTCCTAATGGAGAGCAGGAGTAAGAAAGAGTTCGCCAAACTATTCATAAGAAATTACCCGCAATTGATGAACGACTTCATACGCGACGATCACGACCACAGTATGTCCATCACATCGCTGTCCGTCCAGTTGTTTACCGTTCCATCGCTGGCGCAGGCGTTGATCGCCGAAGAAAATGTGATCGTAGTGTTGCTGAAAACATTTTTGAACGAATGCGGTCGCCATCGCAACCACGACGGGAAGCTGGCCTTTGAGCGCAACCAATCGGCGATCGCTATCTTCCGGAGAGCGCATTATATCCTCTTTGACCTGAAGTACATCCTATCCGTCAAACCCAACGATTGGAGCGACGATTTGAGGAAAAACTTTTTGTTAGGTTTGCATACATTAGTCGATATGTTAAAGTGGATGCAAGGCATGGACGCAGTGGTGCGACAAGTGGGCCAACACGTGGAGTTCGAGGCCGAGTGGGAGACGGGCGTCAATCTGCAGCTACGGTTGGCCCCAATCGTCGGTCTAGTCATTGAGTGGTGCTCTTCTGATCGCGAGACTCTCATCAAGTCCTTAAACTATACGCTCAAAGAATTGGCTGAATTCATAAGCAATTGTCCGATGAGTGAATGGGAGTTATGCGGATGTCGTGCCAATTGTCTCGATTATGACGTCTCGTCAATGCCTGTGACCATTCATTTGCCGTTCTCGCGACTCGTGGCCGGACTTCTGCTACAGTTGGGAAAGTATGACTTGAATTATAACGAACCGAATTTCATTTGCGGCAAAAGGCCGACACCCGTTCAGCTGATTGAACTGCCGCTCAGAACGCAAGTAATGATCGCTCAGTTCAGGGCCGGTATGTGGAGACGGAACGGCTATTCGCTGGTAAATCAGGTCTATTTCTACCATAATGTGAAACTGCGCGAAGAGATGTACGACAGAGACATATTGATGTTGCAAATCGGCGCCGCCCGCTGTCCACCCAATGAGTACATGATTCACGTTCTCAATAAGTTTAGTCTACTTTTCTGGGCTCAGGATAACTACGAGGGCGTCAACCGAAAGCCCGAAGAAGATTACGTCCGGCAAACCATCTCATTGGTCGAGGAATTCCTGGGACTCATACTTATCTTAATATCCGAACGATTTGTTCCCGGAGTGGGAAAAGTAACACTCGAGGAGAGGATCAAAAAGGAGATCATTCAATGGCTGTCAATGACTCCAATGACTCACTCAGAACTCGTCAAATACTTGTTGCCAAAGGAGACCATCCCTTACGACTGTAGTATCGAAGACATAATCAAAGAAGTGGCGACTTTCCGGAGACCAACCACACAGACGACCGGCAAATACGAGCTCAAAGCCGAGTATCACAAAGATTTCAATCCATTCTTTTATCACTACTCACGTCAGGACCAGTCATGTGCTGAAGAAACGCAAATGAAGCGCAAGAAACAGAACGAAGAAGAGCTGATATGCTGTCCGCCACCCATTCCTCCTGATTTCTCGCCACAATTCGCAGCCATATCTCAGTTAATAGATTGCGATGCAATGCTTCATGTGATAGGAGT